ACACAGACAGATATGGGCTCAGTATTGGCTCCACCACTTGGGTGAGATGTTTAACCTCTCTCTGTCTCAGTTAACCCTCCTGGGGCAGGAAATGACCTCAAGTCACAAGCACTGCTGTGAGGATGCTCCCAGGCTGCAAGCATGACTGCAGAGGCTCAGCCTAGGATCCTGAGGATGAATTGGAACCATCCAATCCTATATTCCCATTGGACTCACACTTTTCCCCAGAAAAATCCTGTGGATGTGAGGTCCTTGGTTTTCCAAGGGTGTATGCCGTCAGTTAGGCTCTTTTGAAGGACACTGGATTACACTGGATTTTAATCTCTTCTGTTTGTATGATTCGTTTTCCTTTCAAACCATTTCTGCTCCTTTTCTTTCTTTTGAGCCTCACATTCTCTGGTGAGGCAAGTTAGAGAATTATTTCCATTATAGAGATAGGAAATAGGAGGCTCAGCGAAGTTATGGGACTAGTATGAGTCACACAGCTAGTAGCCAGAATGAAAACAAATAGGTACTCTGAGTCTATTGTGTTATCCTTGTCAATTAAAATTCCCAAAGTTTTCTGGAATCCTTTACAGCATGATTTTCTAATCCTTGTCCCTTCTGATATTAGGGATCTGTGCCTTAGAGAAAAGACTATTAGAAGGGATCAATGTCTTCCCTTTCTTTCCTCATTTGAGCATCTCTTTCTGGTATTTCCCAAAAGAGGCAGATGATTCATTTGTTTATTCAATACATAGTGGATTGTACTCTGTACCAGGCACAGGGGCCCACAGGCGAACAAAACTTGGAGAGATCACAATGCAAGCAGGATACAGGGATGCCAAGGTCTGTGGAAACGTAAAGAAAGGGTCCTTTTACTGGATGGGGTGGTGAGGAGTTCAGGTGCAGGGTACAGGGGGGCCACAGTATTCTAGCAAGAGTAGAATGAGATTGGCTATGAGGATGGGACAGGCCAGGACCTGGGAAGGGTTGATAGGCGCCAGATAAGAGGACCATGACTGTCAGGCTAAGAAGTGTAAATTTCTTCTAGCTCTGTGGGAGAAACATAATCAGGGACACAATAAGAGGAAGCTTGGTGGATTATTAGATGGATGGGTGGATGGGTGGGCTGACAGACAATCCCCTCCAGTCACAGACTTGTCCAGGCCTCCATATTGCCAATTTTAAGCCCTGACCACATGACTGCGGGGAAACATGAATATGAGAAGGCAAGCCTGAAGATGTGATTGACATGGAGGTCCCAGAGAAGAGAGGAACCCTTTGGCCTTTGCCAGTCTTGGCCTGGCCCTCTGCGTTTTTATCTGTCAGCCATGTGGGCCAGGTGAGTATGCTCATTGGATATGAAACCCACATTTATGAGGACAGCATCTGATTTGCAATTAATTTGTTGATGCAGCAAAACACATTGTTTCCAAAAGGTCAGGAGGGGAAGTCATGTTGGAATATCAACTTAATTACCTGGGCGGCATGGATGAGCGGGCGCCTCACATGGGGCTGTGGGGTGGGAAATGCTCAACTGCCAGGCGCTGACTTGGGGGCAGAGAATGCAGCATGCATGGGAGCCGGGGGTGGGGGGGTTGTCCACGGCACCAGGAAGCCAGCCAGCCAGCCTGTATCATGGGCACAGCCAAGGCACCTCCTACCTGCACGGCACATTCACTAGCTCAGGGAATTCTCTATAGGGAACGAGGGCTGCCACCCCATGTTATAGTTGAAGAAAGGCAAGGCCTTGCCCAGGGTCACAAAGATGACAGGACTTTGGAGGATGTTCTATGAGCTCAGTTCAAATTAATGACAGCTGGGGCTGAGGTTGTGGCTCAGTGGTAGAGCACTTGCCTAACATGTGTGAGGCCCTGGATTCGATCCTCAGCACCACATAAAAATAAATATTGTGTCCATCTAAAACTAAAACAAAATTTAAAAAATTACAGCTGGGGCAAGGGGTCCAGGAGCAGTGCCTGTTTAGGAATGGGTACATGGCTTCACTCCATTGTCAATGGAGGACATCCCTGGAACTATCCTATCCCTTCAACCTCTCTACAAGGTCAGAATCAGAACCCCCATTTCACTGCCGGGAAAGTAAGGCCACACAGAAAGTGAAATGTCACAGTTGGTGGGGACAGGTCAGATCCCACCAAGTAGAGACAGGGAGGTTGAAGAGGACAGATGCTGGAGGCCACCAGGCTCATGCAGGTTTGCTGAAGGCTGGGACCTGTGCATGCCAAGCAGGGGTGGGCTGGAGAAGGGAGGCAATCTTCCCTGAGAGGTATGTTCTTTCCTGAGGGCCAAAAAAGTGGGATATGCCCAATGGGGCTGGTGTGCAAGACAGCTGGCTTCTAAGACTGGTCCCAAAGCACACCTTGATTTGTGTCTGAACTGTGATCTGAATTACTCCTTTCCCACCAGATCCCACCTGGCCCTAAAGAAGGAGGCCCTGGTGGGGAAGCTGGATAGGAGTTGGAGTTTCTCTGTTCGTTCTGGGGATGTGCATCAACCAGATAAGCTGCTGGGAATGGAGAGGGTGAAAGAAAATTCACAATTAAGCTCTGTTGCTGTTTAACGAGGGAAGAGTTCACCTGGTTAATTTTCCTGGCTAGTAGCCACATCAATGCTCTGACCTGTGTGTGAAAGGGACCCAGTTGGGAGGGGAAGATGATGCTTGCTGCAGCTTTACAAAGGGCCTGTGGGCTGGGAGCAAGGCTCCTCTACTCTTTGGGACTGGAAATCTGCTATTATGCAAGGTATGGAAATAAAAGAGAGCTTCTTTTGATATGCCTCTAAAAGAGAGTGCATTGAAGTGATATTTTTGTGGAGTGTTTCCTTTGAAATGCCCAACCGGCTCTCAGGCACGGCTCTGCCTGTCCCCCAACTCCTGTCATTATTTCCAGTCCTCCTCATCCAGCCTCAACTGAGGGGATCCTGCTTGTTGGGGAGGATCAAATGCTTGCCTCTGCTTCAGAGTTGCAGTGAAGATGGCGGGAGCAGACTGAGGCCTGGTGTTTATGGCATGTGTTCTGGGCCTGAGCTGCTCAACAGGACACCCAGAGGGAGCTGGGGACCCTTGGCACCAGAGCATTTGCAGAGGTAATGAGCTACCATCCAGGGGGATGCTGCATGGGAGGGACTTTGACATCACGACTGAGGATGAAGTGTCCATCTAGTGAGCGCCCACTCACTTGGCAACATGAAAGGGCTTTATCATGGGACAGGAAGGAGTCTGCATGCTGGAGCCTCCTTAATAGGCCAAGTGGTGCTCAGAAGACTCTAGTTGCTCCTGACAACTTAGGGGCAGAGGCTCTGTGTGATCCCATTCCACAGACGGGGAAATGGAAGCTTTTTGCCCACATTCATACTTGCAATCTCTAGTTGTCACAATTCCAATTAACTTTTCCATGTACCTCACAACTTGCTGTCCTGAGGTGCCACCTGCAAGGGGACTGAGAAGCATTCAGGATTGAAGGTGGCCCTGGGAGAATAGTGCAGCACCTGCCACCAGGGCCAGGCAAGTTGTTGTCTCTGGAGAGGGCATGCTCAGGACTCGACGCCTGCCTCTCCCTCAATGAGGAGCCTTGCCAGGCCATTCACTCCACAGGGCCCAGCACCCTCTTTGCCATGCGTGAGTGCTGAGCTGAAAGCCGCCTCAGACTGGTCCTGAAGAGCAGCGCATTCTTCCCGATGTTGACAGGAGTAGTATTTTGTAGTGGTGCTGGTTAATTTGTAGTGGCATTTGTGGTTTGAAGCCTTGTCAAGATCCCTGATTACTTCCCGTGCAAGGAGCGCGGCTGACGGGGAAGTTCACATGCTGAACAAAAGCAGCCAGGCAGCTGGGAGGGAAGGCTACACCACGCCGGGTGACCCTGGCCGCTTGGGGGACAGTGGTGGGGGAAGGAGGAGGGCCAGCATTGGGGGGGAGGGGAGGGGAGCCCTTTGTTTTTAGTTGGTGCAGGTGCATAGTCTGAATAGGTGGCATCCCAATGGCGGCCAGAGGTCGGGTACCAGATGTGGCCGGTGGCTGGCCAGGGGCAGGGAGCTTTGCTGACATGTGCCATTCTTTGCCCAGATAGAAGCAAGAAGCAGGCGCCTCACTGCTACCTACACTGGGATGGCCATCTGGGATGTCATCAAGGATGCCTGGGTGACATTCTCAGTAAGTGGGAACTCATGACTCAGGAGGCTAGAGGAGGGGCTTCCAGAGAAGATCCCTCTCTGATATCAACAGGAGCTACGGTTTCATAGAATTTGCTACAAACTACACTCTGTGCTAGGAGCTCTGCATGTAAGGTCTCTAATCTAAACAACCCCACAAAGAAGTAGAAATCTCCATTTGACAGATGAAGAAACTGAGGCTGTATTGCAGTGGCTTGCCTAGGTTAGGCTTTATAGCTTACAAGTGGCAGAGCCACGATCTGAGTCCAGGTCGTGGATTCATTTATCATGTATCCATGAGCCCTCCCTCCATGAGAAGCAGCACAAGCAGAAGGCAGATGTTGAAATGCATTCCTTTTAGCCCGAGGGCACCTCTCTGGCCCTGAGTAGGCTTCCCTGTGACATCCTTTGAGCTCTCTGTCCTGACCACAAAGGCAGTTGCGTGCATCTCACCAAGCCTGGGTCCCGACTTGGCAAGGGTTTGCTCAGTACATTAAGGGCCAGGGCTAGCTCAGCAAAACCAAGATTCATTTATCATCTCTGGAAAGATGTCCACCTGAAACAGTATGCTACTAGGAAATTAAAATAAAAACCTTCTCCTGATTTTACAGTGGTACAAATAGAATGCCTCATATCTCTGGAAAGAGAATTTGATGATCGCTCCCAGGTCAGGCGGTTCCTGTGGCCTCTACACTGCTCTTCCTGTTGCCAGCAGCCCAGGGGAACTAGTTGCATCCCTGTTCCCTCAGCAGACTGTTCAAAACCAGGCCATGTCTCAATGATCCCCGCACCCCTCCATAAACAGCCCCTTCTTTCCAGCCCTGCCCCTGTGTACCTCTGCCCTTCAACAAATGCATGCTGGTCCTGTAAGCCTGTCCCTGGCTTGCCCACCTGATGGAGTCCTGCTTGTCAAGACTGCATTCCCTTTCCTGAGAAGTCTCCCCTCTCCTTCTGCTCCCATGAGTAGGGCATTGCTGCTCTTTCTCCCCTAAGGAGGCTAAGGGACCCTGGCCTCTGGCCCAAGGCCTGGCATGTAGAAAGTAAGTGCAAAGAAACACCTGCTCAAGAGCAGGAAGCCAGCATCAAATTCTTAGTCAGGTTATCACCAAGCATCTGAAAAATGCCAGGCAAACCAGCCACTGTCCCCATCACTCAGGTTATTTTGTCCACAAGACTGGCAACATTTCTGGTTTCCTTCTGATCAGGAAAAACTCTCAACCTGGAGGTACCCTAGTCGTACAGGCTGAACCCCAGGGCCATCCCTAAAAGCAAGAGACTTTTTGAGTGGAATGCAAATGTTGAAGCGATGGGAAGCTTAGATGTGAAATATCCCAAAATTTCCCCAGTGTGTCTGTTAAAGAAAGAAAGACAGGTTCACTAGACAGAGGGGTGGTTGTTTTTTCTTCCCTCAGAACAAATGGATGGAGAACCTGGTTTAAAATTCCTGGACCCTGGAATACATTTCTATCTGTGTCAAAGTCTACTATCCAGCGCCTCGGCAGAGTTTAAAATCCTAGCTAATAGGTTAACAACTGTTTTTCTTCAGCTTCAAATGAAGAATATCAGAAGGCTGGGGGAATATGCAGCTCTCCAATTTGTACGGACTGCACACAGCTCCCTGCAATGTGTGTTTGACAGGACTGACATTTTGTACCGCTGTGAGATGGGAAAACGTGTGACATTTTTATTCATGGTGGCGTACGCCCTTGTAATGATCAGCTCTGGTCGATGTGCTTACCGCAGCAGCCCCTGAGCCCTCAGAGAACAAACAGGAACCCAAGGTGCCAGCAGTTCGACTGCCTTATTAAACACCGCCAGGATCCTAACGAAGACCAACTGCTGGAAAATCTCACTGTCAAATCCTCAAGGACATTGTCAGCGCACAGCTAACTGCATATATTTTTCATTTAAAATACTGAAATCCAGCATTGTGCCATCACAACCAAGGGGAGGGGCGCCTGCTTTAGCGGCCATCCTGTCAGCTGCTTCTTCGGAGCTCCAGATGCTGGAGCCAGATGCCCAGTGGGGGTCAGAGCGCAAAGGGGGAAGCAGAGATGGGAAACTGCCTTTCCGAAAACCCAGCCCTACCTTCAGGGTGAACTGCAGAAAGTTATAGGGCTCTGGGAACAGTCACTCAGGAAGTGAACTCACTGGCTCCCCTTGCAAGCCAAAGCAAATCTGCATAATTAGAAAATCCGTCTTCCCCAGCCAGCCATCTTCCTGTAGATGCAACCTACCACATCCTGCAACTCGGTGCTAATCAGCCTTCTGCTTCGCAGCAGACCTTAAGACATCTGCAGGAACACACGGCCGCGGTAGGTGTCACACATTGGCTGAAAAGCTGTGTGTTAGGGTGCCCACCTGCAATCTCACCACTTGTCTCAATTCAAAGGCCTCAAGGTCAGTGTACAGAAGGACCCCCTCCATTCAGTGGTCATTTCTAATGCTGATGCACACTGATGGATGGAAGCCAATCACTTGGCAGACCCTTGGAGCTTCCCATGATTGTTAAACAGGTGATTTGGTTATGGCTGCACACTCTAATGTATTGATATATTTATTTTGTAAATATGTATTATTTATACAGCATTTCCATTTCCATACTCCAGCTCTGATGCACCAAGACACTCTCTGCTATTTATTTATGGGATCCTTGGCGTGAAAGGCCTAACAAGCTGCCTATGCTTGGTGTGTGTGGGTTTGCAACAAATCGTAAGTGACTAGCTAAACAACTGGATGGTCTCCACCACCATGGGCACAGGCTTGCATTTTAAGAGGCTGCCTGTAAAGTTGGTTTGGCTGTACATAATTTACTGCTGTACATAATTCTTGGACAAAATGACCCGGCATGGTGAAGAGCTGGCAATCTAGGGAGGAGGAGCTACAGTGTCCATAACCTGGGATGGAGCGTGAAGCAAGTTATGGAGATCTTGGGGCTTATAGGACCCAGAGGATGTAAAAAGGTGGGTGGTCAGTAGGAACCCTGGGAAAATGCAGGACAGAGAGCATGAAGGGAGCCACATTCTATTTCCTTGAAGCAGGCCATTGATTCACCCCCCTCAGCAGAACCTATCACCCTGGGCTACACAGGGAGGTGTTTACTGACTTTACACAGCCCTGAGGACCCTCTCTTCACCATGGGCTATATCTCAAGCCTCAGCAGAGCATGTTGGCTGGAGGAGGAGAAATATGGACAGTGTTTTGTCTTGTGCCATTTTATGATGAGCTTCAAGAGCTCCTATGGAGGGCGCCCAGCTGCCCCACCGTGTGGTCCTTTTGGTCTCCTAAACATCTTCCCCATCTTGCCCTCATTCCCACCCCTGTAAATAATGTCCTTGGTCAGACAAGTTTTTCCTGAAATATAATGGCATCACTAGTGACCTCTCTCAACTACTCCCATCTCTTCCCACAGTGTCCCAGAATAAATATCCCTGTTGCCATCCTCTTGAATATAACCCCACCCTGGCTTCTAGTCACCCACAGGGTAAGATTCAAGCTCCCTTAAGGCCTAGTCACTGCCTCCTCTATAGTGTTGCTCCTGGCCTGTATCTGCTGGCCTCAGTCTCTATGCTGGCCCCATTTCCCCTGAAAAGTCACTCCTCTCCTCTGCATATGACACTCTTCACCTGGAATGTCCAATGCCCTCTGGCTTCTCTTGATACACAACCCATCTTTCAAGAGCCAACTAAAATGTTACCTGTTGAGGCCTCCTCAGCACCTACTCTGAACAGCACACTCATGTCCATTAGCATTTCTCTTTCCACATGTTTGTTAGTTGTCTCTTCCAGACAATGAGTGCCATGAAGGCAGGGACAGGTCTCATTTCCCTGTGACTATGAGGCCTTGGCACCTGGCATACCTTGTTGTGTATTGACTGAGAGAAGGAAGGGATTCATGAGGCCACAGAAGAGTAACTCAGGGTTGTGCCTGGCCAGGGAATCCAAGGCTTCAAGTTTCTAATCACAGATAGGAGGAATGCAAGGGAAGAAGAATTCTTGCTAGTTACCAAGGTCAGGACAATGAAGGTGTTTAGTAGACAGTTACGGGCAAGCAAGCACTTATGTCTCTCCCTCTCTGTCTCTGCAGAAAGAAAAATCCTCACATCTGCAAAGTCAGTCTCCAGCTTTCTACTGACTGCTTCATCCCAGTGGCCTTTCATCTTGCCAAGGCACATCTGGAAATATTCACAGTCAATCTCTCCAGATGTGAAAACAGGGATTTACCCAGAGGGGGTTCAGGACTGGGGCATCCCAAGGGGGGCTAAGATGAGTCCATAACTACGGAACCATGTGGCTGATGGCAACAACATCCCAGGAATCCAGTTTAAACAACTATTTAAACTATTTCTCTTCCCACAGTGTCCCAGAATGAATATCCCTGCTGCCATCCTCTTGAATAGAACCCCACCCTGGCTTCTAGTCACCAATGAAAGAGGGATACACTTGACATCCTTTGGGAAAAGTACCTTTTGTATATTCTCCACTCATTCTTTTATTATATTTGAAGTGTTTGGCAGTATACACAAAGTGTAATACAAAATTCCAGAAGACATGAAACTAAGCAGGGTGTCAACCAAACTAACCAGGCAAAAATGGTAGCCAGTTACAGACATGGTCAGCATGACCTCAGATAAACTGCTCAGGAGACTAGCATGCAGCCTTGGCTACCAGGGAGCTATGGTCACCAGCCAGCTGTCCTAGGATCTGGCCAGCAGGACAGTGAGGTAGGTGAAGCAAGGGCTTTGAATCTGAATCCATTCCACCAGCCAGGGGATGAGGGTTGGGCCCTTACCCCTGCCAGGCACACAGTAAGCTTTTAGAAGGGCAGCATCTGTTGTTCTCAGCCCTGTGCTAAGGCACCTGGGGTTGGGTTAGATTATTTCTGGGGATAAACAAACTGTCATGTCCAGATAACATCTATGTCTCAGACAGGAGTGAGAGAGAAGTGGGACAAAGTGACCTTGGCCTCCACAGCCATCCTAATTTACATTGCTGGATTTCAAAAGTGATCTAAACCACTGGTGGCCCAAACCAAATGGCTCAGGAAGTAGGTGGAACTGATGAAAAGGATTTGATGAGGGGTTGAGGAGAGCCCCAGCTCCTGCTTTGGATAGGCCTGGTTTTGAATTCTTGCTTTGCGGCTTTATGACCTTGGGCAAGTTACCCAACATCTCTGAGCATCAGCTCTCTGGGGATACTGACTGCATTGGACTTACAGGGTTGTTGAGAAGAGTGAGATGATGCTTGGGAGGGGCCTGGCTTCATATCATAATGAAAACTGCTTCCATCCAACTGACCCCTTCTTGCTTTCCATTCTCTTGGTTAGTCCTGGTCATCCCTTTCCAAGGGTCCAGAAGCAGTTGGTAATTTACCTAGACTGCAGGCAGTGCCTGGCTCCACCAGGGCTAGGTAGGGATTGATGAGGGATATAGGACAGGCAGCTCCTGGCACACACTCCTTTGGCCATGGAGCAGGGACTACCTGCACAGCCACAGACACTGAGCTGACTCTCTTGGAGGATCTTGCTTGTGGGATATAATATGTTTTCAATATTTTATGTTCTATTTCCCCTTCCCTACTGTGATAAACTCCCCACCTTTGGCACAGAAAATTCTAATCTGAGAAAATGCCTCCTCTGGTCTCGCTGAGTCAGATTTCCTGCTCTTGTCCTGCTGGGCTCAATATCTCCCTGGCAGGGAGCTGGATATGAGCAGCTCCAACACAGACCTTTAAAGAAATGCTGTTTTTAGGCTCTGGCTGTCCCCTGGCAAAGAGGCTCTGCTGTGGCACTGCTGAACGTGGACAGACTCAGGGATTCAGGAGGCCTGTCACTCAACACAGCTGGGAATTCAGGGAATCTAAAGTGAACACAGTTACTGAGAAATAGCCACCTCCCTCATTTTTTGGATTCTTCCCTGCTGAGCTGACCAGGACTCCAGGACAGAAGGAGTAGTAACCCCACCCTCATCTCATCCTGGATCTGCTCTCTTTCATGCACACTCACTCGCCACTCTGTCACTCCCCAAACTCTCACTGGGCAGCTTGTCTGTGCCAGGATCTGTAAGGTGCCAAGGATACAGACATGAACCCAACACTGTCCCCAACTGGGAACTAAACGTAAGTGCACCACCTGAAAGCAGCCAGCAGGGACGGTTCTAGCCCAGAGCAGCAAGGAAGCACCAGGCTTGGAAAAGGCAGGGAGCACTGGTGGGGCAGGGGTGGTGGGACAGGGTCTTGGAGGACTGGTGGAACAGAAGAAGAAGGACACTCCTGGCAGTAGAGATGGTAGGAGCTGATTCATCCTGGGGTCCTCCCTGTGCCCCATGTGGGGTCTGGCCTTGAGCAGATGTCCATAAAGAGCTGGTAAGTGAATGAATACAAGTGTCAGAGGCTAGAGGAAAGGAAGGTCTCTGTGAGGGGTGGGCACTTCACAGAGTATTGGAGGTGAGCAGGAACTGACCAGAAGTGGAGGATGACAGGGGCCTCCAATCCAGAAAATCCAGCTATGGTCAGGGTGGGTTCTCAAGGCTGGTTATGTTCTAATGATACAGGCCAACTAGCAACTAGGGAGGGAATCCTGAAGGGGACTCACACTCCGAGAGCTGATGGACCTATCTCAATTCTTGATAGTCCTTTCTGACATGCTGGTGCCTCACAGAGCAGTGGAGGAGATGCAAAATCTGAGGGATATAGGAGTGCAGAGGGCTGACTTCTTGGTGCAAATGGACAGAAGAATGCCTAGGAAGACCAAGGGCAGAATAAGCCACCAGTAGCTGAAGTTCATGAAGCACGAATGGGTAAGAAGTGGACACTGAAGATGCCAGAACAAAAATGGCACTAGAAACCACAGAGAGAGCACTACACTCCCCAGAGTGCAGAGTCAGAGGCAGGACCGAACATGGGAAGAGCACCATCCATGGGAAGGAAGGACAAAATGCAGCTCCTGGGTACAAAGCTCAGCTGGACTGGCCTTTGTACATCAGTCAGCCATGCCATGCTCCACCAACCCAATTTCCATTTCTCTTGTGTATTATTTTGGGTGGACCTTTTTGGAGACCACATCTCTGGCTTAAGGAACAACTTTAAAAGTGAGAATTTCCCATTGTAACCAATGGATAAAGCAAGTGAGGACTGCCTGGGCCAGGATAGGGAATCTGGGACTTAACAGGAAGTCAGTTGCCACCCCATCTGAGAGTGACCACCGTGTTTAGTCACTCACTCAGGTATTGGAAACTTCCCCATGTATCTGAGACACAGCCTGAAGAAGTGGCTCCCACCCACCCTAGTAAAGTGAGCCCTCTGACTAAGAGTGTGATCAAACATTGCTACAATCAGTGCAGAGGTGATGGCAACTCCTGAGGATGCTGGCAGTCCCTACCCTAAAGAAAAAACTCATTAGAGTTTAAAGCAAATAAAAAGGGCAAAAAGGAGACTTGGAGATGCCTCAGGGCCCCATCACATCAGCACAAATCTGGGCTTTTCAAAACTACCAGATGGATTAAGTTGAACAATGGCTATGGCTCTGTGGCCTCCCTAGGTTCAGGTAATCCTCATCCCTGTTTTCACACATGCAGCACATAATAGCCATCAGTGATTGTTTGCTGAGCAATTGACAAAGGTTCCTGGAGTCTCTCCTTCTCCACTCCTGGACATATACGGTAGTTGACCTTGCTGCTCTCCATCCCTCAGAAACAGGTAGCCATGAATGGCTGTGCTTGTCCCTTTAAGCTGGGTCACCTGCTCCTATGTCCCTGGCCTACCATGCACTGATCTGCCATCTCTCTTCTGTTCCCTCTCTATGTGGTACGATGGTTGACATCTGAGCTTGACTTAGCCCTCCATGTTCTCTAGACTTCAGGATCTCCACAGCTCTGGGTCTGAACCTTTCTCTGTCATCAGACAATACCACAAGAGGCTAGGACAAATTTTCCAGTTTGGTCTCTGTGCATATTATTATTTTGATCTGTTGTCCCTTATCTGGATAGCAGCCATCTGATTTTCTTCCCAGGAACTACCTCTTCTTTGTCTCTTAGGCCTGTGCTTCAGGTGGGATTTCACCCACAGCACACAAGAGTCCTTGGCCACAAACACTGTTAAGACAGGCACAGGAGCATAGCTGGATTAATAAGCAAAGACCATGTCTTCACTTATCAGCAGTGAGAAAGCTTCTAGGAAGTGACACTCACTTTCCTGTTGGTCTTGCCCTAGAAAAGTGTGGTCTGCAGCTATAGTACTTGTTCCATCATTAGGAGAAGGCCTGCAGAGTGGCCCTAGTAGAAGAGGCAAAGTCAAAAAATATGGCAAAAATACATGGGCCTGACATGAGTTGATACATGGATCAAGCACTTGAAGCTAATATAAGCCAACAGTTTCTCTTTTGGGTTTTATGTCTCTTGCAACTCCAGGTACCCTAATTAGTGTAGACTCCCAGCATAGGCCCTTGCCCCTGGCATCACCAATACAAACTTCTATACATGTTTGGTTTTTATCCTGTGTTCTATTCCCTCACGCATATCAGGAAAGCACCAGCATGCCTTTGGGACCAGCGGTTTGATATACAGGCAACACTTCTTCAGGTACAGGACACCTGCTTACTTGTATTAGTGCTAAATGAGGTCAGAAGCATTAAGGAGGGCCTGAGAGTCTAAGGAAGCCAGGGACAAAGCCTTACTTATGCTCCAACATCCTAGGATCCTGGGCTACCTGCTCAGATCACTGCAGTGGCTCGGACACTACAAACCCAGAACTGTCACATTCTCAGCAGAGTTGGTGAAGAACCCAAGTATTAGAATCAACAATATGGCTTTCATTCCTGACAATGACTTTTGAGCTGCAGACCCTTGGCTAAGTCCCCATCTTCTCTGAGCCTGACCTTTTCTCTGAGATCCCCAAAGGAGAGCTGAACAGATTACATGGGTCAACCTACTGGAATGGGCCACTGTTTCTCTAGGGCGTGTGCCTGGCTAAGGGTGAGTAACTTGGCCTCACATCCCTCCTGCAGCTGTGTGGAGACATGCTCACACACAGGAGGTGCTCACACAGACTTACATGTGCTCAGGTCCCAGGCGGGGTGGTCTGGGAGGGAGACTGACTTTGGCCCCAGTCCTTCTGTAGCTATCCTTCATTTGTGCTGAAATGAAGGTGATATGGCTTAGAAAGAAAGCTGCTATTTTTAAGCTGGCTCTTCACTGGCTGCAGATGTTTCTCAGTTCTTCCAGGGCATACTAGGAGCTCTACCCACACTGCTGGGCGGCCTGGCCTCTCTGGTTCCCTGCAATGAGGGGAATGCAACCTGGGAAGGCAATATTGAATGCTCATTCAGAAATCTCCTCAATTTTCAACTCAGCCTTACAGATTTTCAGAATTTTGATTTCTCTGTTTATTGGCAAGTTTTCCCTCCTGAAATGAAATGTGTCTTTCCAGAGGAGCAAACTGCAGCCTTGCTAAGCCTTTTAGAAGTCTGTCTCTGGGTTAGCCTGGGCTATAAAAGGTTGAGTGCATGTGCGAAGACAGGTCTAGCCTATTACCCTAAAAAGAGACCTGCTGCCATCTGGGGGCAATGCTGCTTTTGGTAATGGCAATGAGTGAGTTGAAACAACTGTGGACAGCAACCCTACCAGAACAGAAGGCGGGGCCCTGTCACAGTCACCCTACAGCTGGCACAAAGGCTGGACTGGAGCCAGAGGAACTAGAGAGAATGTGGTGGGGAGACCAACACAGTGCTCTGCTTTCTTGCACAAAGACTGGTTGAAAAGAGCAGAAAAAAAGGGCAATGGAGAGGGGAAACACACTTTGGAAGTGACAGGGTTGGAAAGAATGGTGTATAGGGAGCTTTGCATCCAGGATCTAAGAATGTGGCTGGTGAGTCCCAATGAGAAAAATGACTTTGACGTTTGCCAGCCTGCTCCCAGCTGGATTCACTGGCATGCCCCCTGCTCCTCTGCTCTCAAGTCCAAGCCAGAATCAGGCAGCATCATCTGTTCTCTCCAGTGCCAGTTCCCAGAGAAGCCACCAGGACCTTTCCCTCTGCTCAGTGACAGCTTCCTCTGGGCTTAAGCTTTGTTTTTCTACTGAGAGCGACAGGGACACAGGTCAGTTATAAGTGCATGGGCAGGAGGGCATGTTTCAAGACCTGAGAAGAAGACAAAGCCCTACGAAGACAGGGCTGGCTGGAAGGTAACCAACTCTGCTCCTGCCCACTGGGCCTAGGTGCCAGCACTGAGGGAGATACTTATAAGCCAAATTTCATTTAATCATGGTAACAACCTATGACTCAGACATTATCACCCCAGTCTAAAGATAAGAAAACTGAGTTTCACTGAGGTTAAGTGACCTACTAAAGGTCACCAGCTAGTCAGTGACAGAGCTGTAATTTAAGCCCAGAGCTGCCAGCTTCCAAAATCTGTGCTTCATGCACTCTACCTTTACCAACTGATGGGTATTCACCTTTTAGCAGTTAAGTTTGGGGGCAGGGGTGAGAGGCTGTATTTGTTTTTTTTCTCCTTCTGTCTCTGAATGGATACTCTGTGTGTATGCATGGGTGTGTGTAACTTCTTAGTCATACCATTTGAGAGTAATTTTCTGGCATCATGCCATCTCACCCCTATATACTTCAGCATATATCTCCTAGGGACAACGATAAGGAATACATACAAAACCATGCTACTAACATCATCTAGTATCCCAGTCTATCTTTAAATTTCCCATCTTTCCCAAGAATGTCTTTAAAGTAAAAATAAAATATATCCTTCCAGGTCCAGGGCTGGGGTTGTGGCTCAGTGGCAAAGTGTTTGCCTAGCATGTAAGGCACTGGGTCATCAGCACCACATAAAAATAAATAAATAAAATAAATGTCTACAAACAACTAAAAAAAAAAAGTAAAAAGAAAATATACTCTTCCATCTGAATTAGGTCCAAGCATTGCATTTGGTTATGTATCTATCTTAGTCTCTTTTATGGATAAAATCTTTATGTCTGATTTATACAGTTGCTTTATTCTATGTAATTGAAGGGCTAAAGAGCTTCTCCCTTCTCTCACTCCCCTCCCTATCTCCTGCACAGCGACTACTTGTGCAGGGCTCAAGATGGTCCTCTACCTTGTTCCTCCCCACTTCCTTTCTTGGGACATCTAGACCGGCCTTAGAATCTCATAAAGATACACAAAATAAAATGAGACAGGATCTAAGTTGCTACAATACAAAGCTATTTCTACTTAGAAACTAATCCTTATTTATGGAAAGTGAATTTGGAATTAGTTTTTGACCACTAATGAAATATTCATTTTTCTTTCTCAAATGAACAGATAATTATAAACATAGCAACTGAAATGAAATCAAATAACTTACTGGACACAGCAATACTTAAACAATAATCAATCAATTATGACCTAATTTAAGCATCTGTAGCAATAAAAAACCCCAGGATATTTACTGGTTGCCAGTTCCATGCCAGGTCCTGCAGAAGGTGCTGGACCTCTGAGAGTCTCACCTTTTCAGGGAGGAGATGAACATTCAAGAAATGGACTGGAAGGGTTTACAAAAGGGATCTGCTCTGGGTTTGACCAGACAGATGGTGAAGGGCCTCATGGGCCATGCCAAGGGGAGTCTTTATGGGAGGCTAGGAGCAAGGGCTTACATGGGCCCCTGTGCACGCTTTATTTAGGTAGCCTTCTGTAAGGCTATGTGATGACTGCAGTGGAGATGCGAGTGTGATTGGAGCAAATGATTATACTATCTGCACCAAGACTGTGGCAGAATTGATGGAGAGGAGGGGACAGGGCAGTGTCAGGAGGTAGAGGGGAGGATATGGCAGTAGTGTGTGGTACCGAGATCTGGATGGACAGCAGCGTAACTCACTAAGGGAGAGATGGAGGAGATGGAGCACACAGCACACGGGCGGCTGGACTGGAGTCTTCTGGAGAACATGGGTGACCTCCTGGAGATGTCTGGGATCAATAGTTGAATTGTAGGGAATTGTGTGTGACTTCCAATCTCAGTGGGGCAGAAGGAGTTTCTCATTCAAGGGTGTTGAAAAGGCATTTCCTGGCTGGGCAGTGTCTCCAGCCTAGCAGGAGACTGGAACTGAAGGACTGGCTCACCACTCACTGCAAAGCCCAAACGCTCCAAACACAGACAGGCAGACAATTATATTCTAAGAGCTGGGCCTAAGGTGGTGTCCCAACTTCTCTGTTACAGCTTTCCAGAAGCCACAGTGGTGCTTGATGGGGACTCTGGTTTAATCATATTTTTAAGCTTTACATAAGAGAAGTTCCTAAATCTCTGCTCAGATGGGAGAACAACAGAAGCATCTTTCAGCTCACAAACCTGACGGCCTGGGAAGCAGGTAAGTAGTCTGCAGATCAGTCAGCTGGGGAAACATTAGGAAGGGGGCCCTGAGAGTAGTTTGCATTAAGTTCTCAGATGAGCCTCATTCTCCTACCTGCCTAGCCTTATAAGGCCCTCGAGAAGGCCTGGCCTGGCCCTGCCCACAGCCTTGGCAGCACCATTAGGGCCAGAATCCAGCATCATTGGACTGCAGTGTTAGTCCAGTGTCATATCCAGGAGGGAGGGCTGTATGTGGCAGAAGCAGGGGTGCTGCTGGGGCAGGAGTGAGCTACTGTTTCCAGCAAACACTGTTCGAGCTGAACTGGTTTCCTCATTTGTACAGGCTTTCTTACTTTTCTTACTTAAGGCGTAATTCAACGAGCACAGATGTAAAAGCACCTAGTGGCCTGGCCATCTGATTAAATGGAGGTACACAGCAGTTTCCATGGGGTGCTGCCTCCATTGACTCCTCTCAAGAGAAGGGGGTCAGGGCAAGATGTTCTAGCTATGGGGTACTCAGCCCTTGTATAGGACACTGCTTCCTCACCCCTTCTATGGTCACAGAAAGGAGGGAATTTCCATTCCCCATCCCAGGAGACAAAAGCAGAGGGCACCCTTAGCCTGTCTCTGCCCTGTATTCTCACCCCTGCCTGGGAGAAGACCCCCTCCTGGGGTCTGGGAAGGAACTAAGCATGCTCTGTCATTTCTTCTAGCTCCCCCTGCACCTGTAGCTCCTCCCTTTGAAGAGCCATTGTCTACTTACCTTGTGTGGCATAAGAGTCTTTTAAATTCTGAGGCAACCTTTTAGTAATCGTTTGGCCTCAGATCTAATGCAATATTCCTTTAGTCTTAATTTAAAAAGCTGGTGATTTGTAAGGCTGAAGCAGGAGGATCAGAAATTTGAGGCAAGCCTCAGGAATTTAGCAAGAACCAGTTTTAAAAAAATGAAAAGGGCTGCGAGTGTGCTTAGAGCACTGTTGGGTCCAATTCCTAGTACGAGGGTGGTGGTGGTAGGGGGAAGCTGTCATTTTAATCTCATTTGACTGTCTCCTGTCTGCTGGATCTTATTTCTTAACTGATTCTAAACTTGAGAAAGAGGAAAAATAGTTCCTTTAAGCCTCTCTAAACTAAGCATTTTCCAAGGTTGGAATAGCATTCTGGAGCCACTTTTGAACCTTTGAAGAAACCATACATGATCAAGATGCAGAGGCAAATAAAAACGCATCTATTTTGCTCATCACAAGCTCCGAGTGTATAACATGTGTCTGCTTTAGCAAACAAATGAATTGCTACTGAGTTTGGTATGTTGACAAAATATCCTTTAACATAGGATCCAATGAGGGACTACGTAGAGTAGTTCTGGGGGATAAGAGGTTGCGTCTGAGAGGCCTTGACAGCATTCTGGACTCACCTCTCATCTTAGCACTGAGGTTGAGACTGTCCATCTGCTGGTCTGTCACCATCCTTATGACCTACAAGGGTGGAGACTGAAGACTTATTTGTCTTATACACAGCTATGGATGAATGGATACATAAAAAGAGGGAAGGTCTCAGCCTTGAAGGAAAAACTGAGGTAGAAAGCAAGAGAGCACCTTCCCTCTCTGGCAGTGGCCAGTCTTGCCCTACTGCTAAATTCCTCTCTCATCAGCCCCCTTCTGCAGAGCCCTCTGCAAACAGCCTCTGTTGGACCCCCTGTCACCCTGCGGGATGTTTCCATGGAGCTCCCTTGGCAGGCTGTGTAGGTACCAGCTTTGCAAGGTAGAGATTAAGGCAACCATCAACAGTCTGCCAGCTGAGTGTTCTTAAAGAACGAAATCCACAAAAATGAAAACCTAGGGAAGAACTTTTCTCAGGTTAGTGAGCATGACTGCGATGATGAGTTATCTTGCTGGGACATATCAACTTTAAGAGACATATTGACCAGATGAAGTCCTTGCTGGGTGAGGGAGCTGGCATGAGCTAGACTCTCCTGGGTTTCCATGCTGGTGTTGTGGGCCTGGGCAGATCCATTAATGTCTCTGAGTTCCAGTTCTGGGTCCATAAAATGGGGTTAAAAATTCCTTCAAAGGGCTGTGGTGGAAAGTGACAGAAAATATGGTGGGGAGCAGGTCTGTTGTTTTTCCAAAAGGACAATCTATAGCACTGGGCCTATATGACTGGCTTTGGTGATCCCTGATGAACATTTAAATTTTTTTTTTTATATGCCCAGAAAAAAACTAGACCAGTATGTTAAACCTATGATTTAACCAACTGCTCAAGTCGTGGTGAAAGTTGGTATGGACATCTGGTTTGAGCCTATTTAAAGAAAACCATCAAGTCACCAAAAAATAGTACAGATGGTAGGAGAGTGTGGCAAAAAATTTTGAACTGGAATTCAAAGGCCTGTTCTTTTGCAAGAATCTGAAGTCCACAAAACTCATGTCTGCCAGTAGTAGGGGCTCCACCTGCTGTGGCCAATGGCCCATCAAACCAGGCAGTTGGGGAAGGACTCAAGGACAACCTATTGTGGGGCAAAGCTGGAAAGAGTTAAAAGAAAGGGGTCTGCAGTTTCACTGGCCCATCCCCCTACAGCTAATCTGTCACCTAATGAAGAGGGGCCGGCACAAGTGAGCTAGCTGGCAGTTCACTTACAGCGGACTGATTAAGAATGTTCAACCAACAGCAGACTGTAGACCTTTCCAGAGAAAATAAATAGAGTGTAGACTGTATGCAAATGTGTTTGTCACTTTGACAGCACGTCTCAATTAAGGCATCTCGCGGCTGTGGGTAGGCGCTGCGGCTGCAGCTGGAAGGAAGAGCCGGCTGCATGGCTGATCCTAGGGGCTTGACCCTAATCCACATGCATGCATTAAAAAAAATCCTGCCTTCCTGTACACTTGCATAATGCTGGCAGCCACGTGAGGGAAGTGACAAACGGGGGGGGGAAAAAAGCCACTTTCATCCTCTCCAGTTTGCAGACCTGTGAAGGCACAGACAGCTCTTATTTCAACAGAGTTTGGGGTGGCTTTTTTAATTGTTTATCCCCCACCCGCGTGCACGCACATACTCTCTTATTCTGCATTTAGCTGGGAATGACATTAAAGCATCTCTACTTCTTGCTGAAATGGAAAGAAGGTCTTTCTCCATTTCAAATAGGGCCTCCTTTTTTTTTGTGTTTCGAAAATGGAATGTTTAACACCATGAAATCCCTCTCCCCCGCCCCCTCTTTCTCTGTAATGGGCTCCAAACTCCAGCAAGGGCTCCTTTCATGGGCAGGTTAGTGTGTGCAGGAATGAGGACAAAGGAAAGCAGGAAGCTGACTATGGAATGCCATGCTGGCGACAACCAGGGGCTGTGCTTTTAGCAAGCTCAGCAGCCGGGGAACTGGGGTGTGGATCTTTCCAACAGGGTCTGACCCTGGGGAGGAGGCAGCTCTTTGGGGTGCAGACTCCAGTGCAATTTGAAGATAATCATTAACCAAACGAGTGCCTCCCATTCATGCTTCTTTCATGCACTACATTTCAATTTTCAGAATATCCCCTTTAAGTGTAAAATCAGAAAAGAGGGTGAATCTCCCCAAGTTAAAGATGTATGAATGTATTATCTGAACAGATTGATTAGAGAAGAATGATTCTTATGTTTCAACCAATTCCTATTCACACCTTACAATAATAGCTACAGCTACGGTTTCATCAGTTCCCTTCATTTCTTAAATAGCTCTATGCTGGGTATATAATAGGCCCTTGATAAACATCTTTCAAAACCAAAAATATTTTAAAGGTAGGATTCTAGTTCCTTCATATGGTGAAACCGCAATCACATTTAAAGTAAAATTCATAAAGACTAGTTTAATCATGTCTCATCTAATAAGTGGCTAAAAGTCAGGTGATTTAAGAATAAATTATCTTGCAAATTCTTATTATAACCATATCTTGCTAACAGAGCCAATTCTCATAAACCACAAACAAACAAAAAGACTTATGCTAACCAGAGTCAAGAGAAGTAGGGAAGGGCACACGATTTTTTTCAACCAAAAAGATGACCATGGATAGGAATGGAAAAAACAATTTTAGTTTCTATACAGAGTACAATGTGTTACTTAAGGGGGAAAAAAAATGAGTAGACAATTTTTCAAATGCTCAAGTCGTTGAAAATAGTTGGGTAAAGAATTGGATCTCAGAACTGTAGCGAGGGTGTTTACTCTGAGAAGCAAGACTCCTGATATTGATTTTCAGGAAGTACATTAATAAAGAACTCCTAATTGATTTTTTTTTTAAGATTTCGCTTGTTGCCTTTTATTTGAAGGTGCAAAGAAGGGCCTGGGATGCTAAAGTGTTCTAATGAGATGCTTAGCTAACAAGGATCTTAAAGGCAATGCCTGGGAGTGGGGGAGGCAGCAGCCGCATTTAATGACTTCATTCAGCAGTGGAGCTAGTTGATGACCAGAGCCAGACTGTCTCCCCGAAATTTTTGAAAATTCACCTTCAAAACATGTTTGCACCAAATAAACATTTGACGACGTGAAAAACTCCATGGAGTTGCTTTGCCAAGGAGAGTTGGAATGAGGAACCGTCTGCCGCATGTGCTACAGCTTCTGCTATGAGAAAAACAACAAACCCCCAAACTGGAAAATCAAACATACCCTGAAAAAGGACCAGGTACCTACCTGCCCAAAGTGGACCGTGATCGGCCTCCGGTCTTCTCGGAGCTTGGGGTCCTTGGCCTCCACCAGTGGGGACGGCATAGTCTTAGGCAGCTGCTCTTCTGTGGTGGGGGCACAGCCGTTCTCCGCGATGTCCTGCGGGGAGGAGTATGGTCCGGGGTTGGTGTCCGGGGGCTCCCTCATACCCCACAGCTAAGTGGCCTGCCATGGAACTCCCTCCGGGACATTCCAAGCCTATCCTCCTGGGAGAGATGGAGGAAATGGAAGGCTAACTTGGCCCTTTGACTTTTAAGGACTAGAGAAACTAAAATCATTTGCATTAAATTATAAAGATAACTAATTCTTAATAGTGAAAAGAATCATCTTTCATACTATCTTACACAGCTATTTTCATTTTTACATATTCACGGTATCTACACACATTTAAAAATTACTTGCAATCACAGCTCATGCTTAATTTTATATCCTGTTTTGTCTCAATATATTATAAGCATCACCATGGGTGCTACATAACAATTATAATAATAATTTTAATGGATGCATAATATTTCATTGAGCAGATATGCAACAACTTAATAAACCATTTTCCACTGCTATTGGACATTTGTTTCTAATTTTTTTTAACTTTCTAAATACCCATGATAAATATTGTAGTTTTTCTTTCTTTTGTATTATTTCATCCATGGAAATACCTAGGAATAAAATTACTAGGTGAAAAGATATAAACATTTTTCAGGGTTTTTATTCATTCTACCAAATTTCCAATTTACACCAACTACCAGCAATGGATGCATTATCGGTTTCACAGTCCTTGTTAGCCTTATCATTTAAAAAATGTATCGCTAATTTAATAGGTGAAAAATTAGACCTCATTGTTGTTTTAATTTGCATTACTTTGATTATTTGTGTGTGGACATTTTCTCCGTGTTCTTTGCTGATGATGTTACCGTGTGTGAATATGATGTGCTTGTATCCCTCTTTCTACCCCCACCCAATCATTCTAAAAGAGAATAAAGAATGTGAATTCTGATTTAGGGCTCTGACTGGGGAACATTTAGGGAAACAAAGAAATATTTTTCAATCCAGAAATTTACATTTAATTTGTGCTTCTGATGATTTTAGAAGGAAAAGAAAAACCCAATGTGCAAAAGGCAGGTAATGGGTGCTTTGGCTAGGGCTAGAGCTGACGGCGCACGTGGGCTATTTGGAGCATGGTAATGGTCCACAAGTGCAATGCAATAAGCATCACATATTGTATTCAGGTCAAGAAAGTTGCTTTGATCTTGACTGGAATGAGATAGAGAATAAATGTACAAATTACATGTAAACAAACATTTTTTTTTAAACCAAGTACAAACAACTCATAGCCTGAATTAAATAATAAATATAGAAGGTAGACAGAACTACGACCCACCGGCAGAACAGGCCCATTGGCCTGCGGAGGGGCAGAGCCAGCGCCCGCGCCTGCAAGGTAGGCGGACCTGCTACCGACCGACAGAACAGGCCCAGCGGCATGCCGGCGTGGTAGGCACATTGCTCCAATTGGAGGAGGGGCAGAGCCGCTGCCCGCGCCTGCGAGGGAGACTTTGCAACTATACAAGAGCAATATAAATATATAGGGGGAAAATTCAATAACACAACAGTTTCACCAAGCAGAAA